TCAGGCGCTGTGCTTCACAATCATCTCCTTTGATCCTCACAACAATTCTGGGAGGGAGATGCTATTATTATCCTCATTTTACGTATGAAGAAACTGAAACACAGGTTATGTGACTTGGCCAGGGTCACGCAGCTGGAGTTGTCTGACTTCACATTTGAACTCAGGTCCTCCTGACTCCAGGCCTAGCACTTTCTACTGTGCCACTTAGAGCTGACTTGGTCTTCATCAAAAAAAGAAAGGATCTTGCACATATATAACCTACATCAAATCACTCACCATTTGTGGAAGAGGGGAGGGAAGGAAGGAGAAAAATTTGGAACTCAGAATCTTATAAGTTGTCTTTACATGTAATTGGGGAAAAATACCATGAAAAATAAATGAAACCAGGGCAGAGGGTGGAAATCTACCAAAGAAAACAATCCCTTTGAAGCATCACCAGAGGCAAAGGTGTCAGACTTGGAAGTCTTTCTGTCACCATTCAGGTGTGTTCCAAGAGCTCATTTCTCTCTATGTCAGCAGCCTTCAGCCTTGGGTCTAGATCCAAATCTAGCTATTTTCACCCATGACCTGTGACATTTGCTCCTAAATCTTCTCTCAGATCCTCCCTCTGGGCAAGCAGCTACATTCTTCTTTCAGCCACCTGGGCAGTTTTGCTTATAACCCCAAATTAAAGGCAGAGGAAATCGGCTGATTTTCACCACTCAGCTTTCCCCATCTTTGCCATTCCAGAAATGCCATAAAAGCCGCACTTACAAACTACTCTGGCCCAAGGTGAAGCACTTTCACCGGTATACGTGTGCTCCAAATTCCATTTCACAACACAACAGCAGCAGAGAACCAGACTTAAAATGTCCAAAAACAAGAGTAGCAATTGCATCTCTTCTACCTGTGTCCAGGGAAGTAACCATCTTTTTCCCCCTTTAACTTTCTTTTTGTGAAGGGAAGGACCAGCGTGTGCCTTCGTAAGCAGACCCTCTCCCCACATCCATACGTGCAGATGCACACCCACAAACTAGGTCTTTATAAGCAAGCAGAGTATACTCTCTCAAAAGCAGATATTGATTCTTGGCAGGGCTTGTTCCAGTGTTTGAAAGGCAGGAGAATACACAGGGTGTATTTTCTCCCTACACAGGGTGTAGGGAGAAAAGTTCAGAGGCAAGTAACAGGTAAACCATTCCATGCTCCCCTAATTTGTTTACGACACACCCTTTATATTGAAATCACGTACTCATTTTGCCTTTATCTTGGTGGACAGTGTGTATGAGATGTTAGTCTGTACCTAATTCCCACCAAACTGCCTTCCAGTTTTCCAAGCTTTTCTCAGATAGTGAATTCTCGTCCCAAAAGCTCTGATCTTTGGGTTTATCAAATGCTATATTACTAAGGCCTTTACCTACTGTATAGCGTGTACCTACTCTATTCCACTGATCCTCCACTCTCTTCCTTAGCCAGGACCAGATTGCTTTGGTGATTACTGCCTTATAATACAGTTGGAGATCCAGTATGGCTAGGCCACCTTCCTTCATATTTTTTTCATTCATTTCCTTGATATTCTTGACCAGATGAATTGTTATTAATTTTTCTAGCTCTATAAATAATTTCTGGTAGCTTGATTGGTATGGCACCGAATAAGTAGGTAGAACTGTCATTTGTATTATACTGGCTCAGCCTACCCATGAGCATCCCCTCCCTTTCAACAGAGGAACTGATTTCCTAATTTACTGAAAAAAGAGAGGCCATGCTGCTTCTTCCCTACTCCTCAAAAATTCCCATTTTTCACTTTTGCTCTGATTTCAAAGTGTTCAGAGGAAGACAGGTAGGATCCCATGGATCAAAATTTTACAGGGAAAGTCTGCCCAAGAGAAATGGGAAACGCTCAAGGATGAAATTCTGAAGACACAAAGGGAAACAACTCCAATGAGGAAAAAAAAAACCCAACAGTCCAACATGAAACATTTATTTTCAAGCTTACACAATATAAAAGGCTGTAAATTCTAACCACTACAAATTACATACAAATAACAGCAAGTGCTCTAAAACCTTCCAGGTCTATAAGGTGATTTGGACCTCTGCAAAGTCCCAAATACTAAATTGGTCTAAAAATACAGACTTTCATTTTATTTTGAAGGCTAAACTTAAAGCTTAAACACAGAGTAAACGTCAAACAATTGTTATCTGCACAACAAATTCAAAGTATTAAACATGTGAAAAACAAAACAAGCCAAGCTTTGCTTTTTTGGTAAACAGTACATTGTATCCACTGTACATGACTCCAGCTCATTCCCAATCTTGCATTAGACAGAGATGAGGATAAATGACTACAAGGCATTGAGAGTACCAATGTCGTTTCCAAAAGCACAATGGTGAGTTTGCACTGTCATACTCAGGTCACTCTGATGCAGCGAGGCAATGGCATGCCTTCTTACAACCCCAGAGGTCACACTGATTTATCACCATTGATTTTCATCACAAAATTCTTTCATTTCAGTCATTTCCAACAGGAGGGAGAAATAGCACCACAGCCTAGAATCCCCCAAGTTTGCTACAACAGGAGCAGCTTCAGTAACAGCTATCATCTCACTGTTCCCCACCAAATATCTCAAGTGCTAACGAATGCAAGCACGCTATGTCATCCTACTGGATCCTCAGGTCAGACAACCTGTACAAAAATTTTACATTTTTTTTAACTCATTCTCTAAAAAGTAAGCATTTCTAAATTCACTTTAAAGATTTGAGACTGATTCAATTCAATACTCCCACCTAGTCAAGATCAGTGTAAAGCCCCAACTTCATACTTGGTCCAAGGATTTTTGGAAAAGCCAGAAGATCTGGAAAAGTTCCATTAAATAAAATCCCATTGGATCCCAAGTTGTCCATTTATTCTAAGACAAAATTACATTCATCCCCCCTTTCAGCATTTCTCCACTTGATTAAATTTACTGGCCAGTACAAAATTCACTGGATTTTTAATCATCCCTCCTAATCACAAAACATGCACCTCAGATGAAGTGGATTATTCTCATGAGTATTTTGGACCATCACCCTTCAGAAAAATCTCAGCTCCTGCCTGAAAATGCCATCCTTAGGACCTACTTCATCCATCATTTCTAAGCTGCACCAAGGCCTGCCGGCCTGGAAGCATTTCAGATTAGTGCATCAACAATCCACGGCCACTACTGGCTTTTCTATCGACCTTTAATGGCTGCACAGTGCTTCCACCATAACAGCCATGCGAGGAGGTAGGTGGTAGAACGCCCCTCAGCGAAGCTCATAGGACAGCCGTGACCCACCCGGAGTCACACAGACAAGGGTCAGAGCCAGCACCCAGACCTAGGGCCTCCCGTCTTGAGGTGCAATGCTCTTACACCACCAAGATGCTTCACTGAATAGTTCTATCGTTTGTTTACTTTGGAAAGTTAGAAAATACAGCATTTTCTTCTGAAACTCTTAATTTTTTTTTTAAAAAGCAGTTAGCACCCAAGTAAATAAAAACCCACCTCTCATCAGAATGTGTTTTAAGAGGTGCTGCTAACCACAAGGACATAAAAGTCGATGCAGGAGCAGATGTAGAAAGAGCTTTTAATTCTTTAACTTTCCCTGTTCCCCAAGCCAATACTAATAAAACTCCCTTTGAACAGAATTTTTGCTTTGGCCCTTGCTACGGGAAATATTACTGCTTACCCGAGTAATAGGTACTTTAACCTAACAAGCCTTCTCAATGGCTGAGGCTGCTCCCCTGCCCCAAATCCTGAGCCTCCATCAGCCCTGAGCACTCTGATGAATATGCAGCTGCAAGAGGCAGGGAAGGCATGCCCCGACCCAGGATGTGTGTGGGAAGCTGGGCGCAGAGAGCTCACACACACATACACAACACCCCACCTCACGGTCCACGGGCAAGTCTCAGTATTTTCCCAGAGGTAAACTGAGCTAATGCATGGAAAGGTAAACTCCATGTGCTCAGCACCGAGTAGGCATCAAATGCATGTGGAATTGACTTGACATGGCTCAACAGGTGACACACATGTGTACACACATTCGTGTACACACACATGGTCTGAATGTAGCGCAGGATTTTTATTTCATTAGAATAGGGAAGACTGTGTGGAAATACCCTCCATGAAGGCAAATCCACAGCTCTCTTTCAACATGCTCCCCCATCAGAATGTAAGTTCATTCTACGGAGGGGCAGTTTCCCTCTCCACTTGCATCTCTAGCCTGGCAGATTCTGGCTTTCCAAGACTTGACTAGAGCACTGAGAGGTCAGGTGACTTGTCCCGGGCCAGTATCAGGGCAAGGACTTCCAGACTCCAGGGCCAGCCGTCTAGAGCCCATGGCCCCGATTTCTCATCGAGAAGGACGCCAGACTGCAGGGAGAGAAGGCATGGGTGTGAGCGCACGTACACGTGTGTGTACTTGCATATCGACAAGACGGATTTCTTTGGATTTGTTCCCTCTCTTCTTAAAAACTAAAGATTTTCATTAACTGCCAGTTTAAATCAATCACGGTTTTCTGTACCAAACCAAGAATATTAACAAAATGTTCACAAAAAGCTGTTTCTCACTTGAAAAGCGTTTGTCAATAACGCGATGAAAAACATTTTTTTTAGCATGTAAGATATAATACCATTTAAGAAAACTGATCTTACGATATAGCGTCTGGTGTCTGACTCTTACTTCACCATTCCTCAACTATCTTCCTCCTTCCACCCCTTCAGTGTACAGACCAAAGAAGAGGAACACTGGCAAACGGACAGCCAAAAATCACACAGAATTCAGGGGACTTGATAATTCTTCACTTGACGTGAGTCATTATTGGCATCATTATTATTATCATAATCATCACTGCTGGGGCAGCTAGGTGGCGCAGTGGATAGAGCACCAACCCTGGATTCAGGAGGACCTGAGTTCAAATCTGGCCTCAGACACATGACACTTACTAGCCATGTGACCCTGGACAAGTCACTTAATCCCACTGCCTAGCCAAAAAAACCAAAACAAAACACAATCATCACCATTATTATCATTCTTACAAACACTTTCTCGGCACTTAGCACAGAGTTATAAATTCCAATACTAGTTCAAATGAAAGAAGCTGGGCTAGGCAAAAATATAGCCTTAATTTAAAATAAATTATTTCTGTCAATGAAAATCATGATGATAACAATGATAAATACTTTTTTGAGAGATGCAAAATAAAGAATAGAAGCAAAAAAGCTAATCAAAAGATTGAGGAGACTCATTCTGACCATCCTCTGCCTTCATTACTATAAATGTAAAACTAGCATCACATTAAAGGCCACAAAGCATTTCATTTCCAAAGCATCAACACACCATAGGGATACTAATAACAAACAATGCTTATTCCTAATTTTATGCAGGCCAAATGTCGTCTTAAATGATACATAAAATAAATGTTTAACATTTTAACGGCTCTGGATTGGAGAACAGTTAGCTGTCTTCCACAGAAAGTCGTAATTCCAGTTGACTGATTTTTTTTTCTGATTAAAGGCCTACTTACAGCAGGATGATTTTCCCTGCTTAAGACATGAGAGCACATCAGCAAATTCAGAGGAGCTGAGTTCCTGGAATGAATTGATTACTTTGGCATTTTCAAGTATCATTCTGAAATCAAATTTATAAGCCAGCACTGGATTACTAATAAAATTTGAAGTTATTTGTGTAAACATTTTCAGCATCAGATGTGGCCTAAGCCAAAAATTATGATTTTTTTTAAAAAACATTTTCATTGAGCTACCTTGGTACAAAATTATTTTCCACACACACACAAATTCCAGGTCCATAATAAAATTCTCTATGAAGTCAGAAATACTCAGGCTTTCTTGTCAGTAGGGTAGTGCCCGGCGACCCGGTCGTGCCAACATGGAATCCTTCCCTCTAGAACCAGGACAGTCACTCAGAGCTCATCAGACGTGATGTTGATATTTGGTAAGACACACTCTTGGTCCGAGTGGCAGCTCTGCAAGACGTCTTTATAGTGGTCCTTCAGCTCCTGATACACAGCGACAGTTCCTGGCGAGTGAACAAAAGGCAGTGGCTCTTCGTTCAGCAGCAGCTGCACCTGGTACTCCCTGGCAGGCGTCTCGGCATGCTCACAATGGTAAAGCACAAATATGAGATTGGCCGCGTAGGGTACAATGTGGCCGCTCCGGAACTGACGGTTCATTTGCTCCTTGTAATTGTAGGCAGTGAGGGGTTCTTTGTCCTTAAAATAGCCCATGAGAGAAAGCAGTGGCAGCAGCGTCTCTGCGTGTCCAAAGTGGAAGATGACTGGAGAAGAGATGGGCTGAGACCTGGAGAAAACAACATGAAAAATGATCAAGACCCTAAGGCCAGGAACAGTAATCAGCAGTTCCTGGTGTCTTTTCTCTTAATCCTACTTCAGACTCCCTGACCACTGACATTCAGCCACATGTGGAATATGGCAGTGACCAAATCCAAGTTGGACAGGAATTCAAAGGCTGCTACCCCAGCCAATGACAATAAGAATTCCTCCAATGATGTGCCAACAAATGGCTAGCCAGCCTTGGCAGGAAGACGTCCAGGGACCTCACTCACCCCCTCAGAGATAGCTCTGAGTGTCAGGAATCGATTCCTTCTCTCTCTCTAACTTCCAGCCACTACAGCTACTTCTTTCCTCTGGTGCCACAGAAAAGGAGAGCTTCCGCTGGGAGGCAGAGAGCTTGGCTTTGACTCTCACCTCACACAAATAATAGCTGTGGGGCCTTGGGCCTCAGTTTTCTCATCTATAAAAAGAAGAGATGGACCTAACGCCCTACAGAGGTGCTTTCCAGCTCTAAAGCTCTGAATCCTATAGCCCCAAGCCTTCTAGTCCAAGTCAAACAATCCTTGGACTTAGCAGTCTTGGCCCCGTCCCTTGGTACACTGGCTAGCTTACCAATATCTCTCCTAAAATGCCTCAAATTAACCAATATGACCAGTCTAGTAATCATGTCCATGTAACTGTGACTGTTCATTACATCACATTATATCCCTTTAACCATTAATTCTATAATCTTGTTAGAAACTGTTCAGGTCCGCTGTCCTATTGCAGAACAAAATATCAGGGGCACAGCTGCCTTTCTCCAGCCTACAACACCCCTCTTATCTTTCAAGGCCCTTCCACAAGTTCTGAGAGAAGGGCTCAGCAATCACACCTGCCAGCTCTCCCAGTACCTTTGGAGGCTCTTGATCAGGGCCTAGTGACAAACTTGAATGTGAGCTAAATGTTCTATTATTTCCTTGCTGATTTTCAGTTGGGCAACTCAGCTTGTCCTGTACTCTCCTCTCCTCTCACTGGACAGTGTTCTGCCCAAAGGAAGATAAATTTTGATGGCCGAAAACTATCTAGCTAACTTGGGGTTCACTGGCTAGATTTCTTTCTCAAAGACCGAGCCCTAAACCCTATTCACTCAGGATATCACAGATTAGATAACAATAGCTCCCGGCCCAAGCACTACTTCATGGTTATTTTTTGGGACCTCCTGGCTCAGAGTGAACATAAATAGTAACTGTTTCTCTTCTGGCCAGCAACCCTGAGGGTCTTCCCCTACCAGTTTAATTTTTTTTTTTTAAATTAAAGAGACCATCCCTTGACTCACTTCTTAAAGAGTCCTATTCACTGACTGGGCATTGCCTCATTCAGAATGAGAACTTGAAAAGACCTTAGCTTAAAAAGGCCAAGGTCTCTCACTGCAACCCAGGCCATCTCCAGTCGTCCTGATCGATATCTAGCCATCAGACCCAGATGGCTCTGGAGGAGAAAGTGAGGCTGGTGACCTTACACAGCCCTCCCTCACTCAAATCAAAGTCAGTTGCAAGTCATGTTATCATCTCCCTGACATCATGGTCCTCTTCGAGAACAAAGGACAAACCACCACAATTTTCAGCTACAGCTCCCCCTGTTGGCCATTTTTGTTCCAGACTTTCCAGTCCAAATTCCCTGTCTTTGCACTGGCTCTTGTCTAGGTCCAGAGTGCCCTCCCTCCTCAGCCACCCTCAGAGTCCCTCTCTTCCTTCCAAAAGTAGCTTGAAGCCTTTCCAGACGTGCCAATTGCTAATGCTGCCCCCTCCAAACTACCTTGTATTTTAACTTCTTTGTGTATAAGTTTATATTTATGTTGTCTCTCCAATAGAATGTAAGCTCCATGTAAGTAAAGGCTGTTTCATTCTTTGTAACTGTATCCCCAGAACAACAGTTTCCTCACCAGCCTTGCTTCATTCTGTTTGACATGATCCTCCACATAAGTCAATATGTATCTTGATACTCAGTCACTGAACACAAGTATGGGCATAAAAGCAAGATGGTGAAAACACTGGGAGACATGGTTAGGGACCAAGAAAGGGAAAAACCCACAAGTCTGCAGACTACTTGGATTCTTCACAACTGAATAAAAAGAAAACTGAGGAGAAACCAGACACTACTCAACCATAAATACCCCAACACTACTTCTGTTCCAAACCCTTCCAAAGCTCCTTGAATCCCTGTGACCCAGAAACATCCCCGTAAGGCACGTTCCTCAAGGAGATCGGACACAAAGTACCATAACATGCCAAGAGGCTCATGGAAGCTCCATCTGATAGCCAAGTACTAGAAGCAAAGTAGATGCCCACTATCTGGAAGAAGGCTAAGCAAATCAGGGCACGAGTGTAATGGCACATTACTGCAACCGAAGAAGGCAAAGACTGAAGAGTACAGAGAAGCAAAGGAAGGCAGGTGTGTCCCTAGGGATGCAGTATCCTGCATACACTGTCCTTTCTTACACTCTGTTACAAAAATAGCTTGCAGAGTGGTGGAGAAGTTAAGGATATATTTGGAAATGAAGGTGTTGTCAAAGCAAGATATCAATTAATAGAAAGATCCAGTTTTATTCCCCACAGAATAAAGCTCACATTCCTTGGCCATGCATTCCAAAGCATTCCTACCTCTATAAAATTAAGAATGGTCTTGGCACACATCAACAGGTGGCCATGACTTTGAAAGGAAGTATAGTGTCCAGGTTTTCTACAGATCCCACCTGCTGAGTCACACCTTCCGACTCCAAGGCTGGTCCTGAGGTCTGCTACAGCACACTGACCCTGCTACCAAAACACCTGCTCAAGCTGGAAGGGGCCTCCCACACACTCACGAGAGAGGAGGACACTGACAGCCAAGAAGTTCAGTGAGCATAGCAGTGTCAGACCCTGGGAGCGCAGGAGCCGTGCTTTCCACTGCTGATGCTCACAACAGATGAGGAAGCCCAGGCCATGAAGCTCCTTCCCTGCTGACTCTCCTGATGATGCTTGTTTGCCCCTCCCCTGGAGGGACCACTCCCACGGCTTGAACGCTCATCCCACAGGCCTCACATCTGCCTGGCGCTCTGCCCTTCAGACCCCCGCATTGCCATCTAACTGCTGCAATCTGCTCAGAACTCAGTGGGCCTTTTTAGTCTGTCCTTCAGCTGCATTCTCCTATGTAAGTCATCTCTAATCAGAAATGTGAGCAGAGATGGTGTGAGCAGGACACAGCTAAGCACGCATCAGCTATGTGATACAAGAAAAAATGAAGCCTTTCCAGGGTGTGGCCTGAGTAACTGAAAGGATCAGCTCCAAGTGGACATGGCTTCTCCAACAATCACAAACACTTATGTCCACCACACTTTCCAGGCTAAAGGCCATCTTTGGTGATACAATGGGACCAGCCCCTACAAGCCAGACAGCCCGCCCTTCCTTCAGCTCTCACAGCTAGAAATTTCAGAATAGCTTTGGTGGAGCTGAGACAGAATAGCAACCCTGTCTGGATTCAGACTACATGTGCCTGGAGCACAGGCCGGCCAAGTGCCTGAGGGGTAAACTCTCTGAGGGGGGGCTGCCTCTGTCTCCCTTCCCCCTCCCCCAGGAGGCCATGTGACCTCCCAAAGGGTGGAAGATTCTAGGCTTGCCATGGGGGAACAGAAGGTTATACCAGGCCTGAGGCGACCTTCACAAGAATCACAATAATAATAGTGGCATTTACACAGCAGTTTAAGGTTTGCAATGTGCCTGACATGTTACCTGTTTTGATAGAGGAGCCCGCAAAAGGACCACACATACGCTCTGTACATTTAAGTCCACCTTTCCCTGGATTCTCGATGCACTCATGGCTTGAAAGCATATTTGTTCTTTCTTCAAGTTTACTGCTGTGTTCGTGCCACACAAAGATGGAAAGATCACCGCCACTTTCTGAGGTCTCTTGTAACAAAGTGAAAGAGTTAAGTAAAACTACCAATCGCCTCATCCTGAAGGGCAGCAGTACTCCACATCAGCAGCCTCTCCTCGCTATTTGGTCAATTAACAGAATCTATTTTCTCTCCCTTTCACCCCTCACCACACGGAAAGGAAAAGAAAAAACATCTTCTTGCAAAAAATACACAGAGCCAAGCAAAACAAATCTGGCAGCTGGGGACACCACAGTGCCCAAACCACCAGGCCTGGAGCCAGGAAGACCTGAGTTCAAACCAGCCTCAGAGACTTACTAGCTGTGTGATCCTGGTAACCTGTCTGCCTCAGTTTCCTTATCTGTGAAATGAGAATAATAATAGCACCTACCTCCCAGGATTGTTGTAAGGATAGAAAGAGGTATCCATTAAAACACTAGCACAGAACCAGGCCCAGAGTAAGCAATTCTCCTCCCACACTGATGGTATACAAAACTATCTGTCTCCTCCTGCACCCTAAAGCCAGCACCTCTCTGCCATGGATAATAGTCCAGTGGAATCATGGTCAGTAGACTGATTTTTATACCCCTGTTACAGCTTTCAAGCTTTCTTGTTTTCCCAGTGCTGTTGCTACTGCATAAACTATTCTCCTGGTTCTGCTCATTTCGTTATTCATTAGGTTATAAAAGTCCTTAAAACTGTTCATTTTGGGATACTGATGTCACAATGTAAACTGGTCTTCTGGTTCTGTTGACTTCATGGGGTGGTCACCACACAGCCTACCCTACTCAAGTGTGGTAAAATGGTGCCCTAGAATGTGGTTTGGGGTATAAACTGTGAAATCTCAGACTTAAAATCTTAACACAATTTCCACAGGAGACGATTACTTCATCACAAAAGCTCTCTACTAGATTATTAAAAATTTGACTAAGAATGCTCTCCTAACCCTCCCAAGTCTCACGCATCAGGTGACTCCAGTGCCTGTAAGTTGGTCATATGCAAACCCACAGACAAGAAGGCGGTTTTCCCCTCCCGCCTTCCCTCCCCAAGAAGGATCCGGCCTGTCTTCCAGCCCGCTTCGGACAAGTCACCACAGCTGGTTCCTCTCTGCAGGCCCCATTTTCACTGTCAGTGCAGAGGAAGGCTCAGGCCAGAATCTCTGAGCAGCCAAAATGTGCCTTTGCCAACAACCCCCCCCACCCAACCACCCTTTACCCCCCACGATCCTTCCCACTTCCTGGAGCTCCAGTAAATGTTTGTGGAGTGAACGATCAGCCCCTTCATCACTAGCACCATTCTGTCTCCTGAAAGGGCCAAGTCCCTCCGCCACTCCACACCGACCGCATCGAGCGTCCACCCGGGAGGGCCTCATGCTCAGGTGCTCTGTGTTCCAAAGTCACCTCTCATTCACCTGAATCAAACCTCCTGCCCTATTAAATAATAAATTCTATAATGAAAAACAGCTGTTTTGAACCTTACAGTTCATCGCATCTGCCCCGCTCCCTCATCCTAATGCTGTTTTCTTGCATCTCAGTGCCTTACAATCTTTACAAATCAAACATATTACAAGTGACAATGGAGGCAGGCTTTTCTCATTGCTATAGCTCTTAGCAGACAGAAAAAAAAATTACCTGTCACCTCAGCACAGAGCAAAAGAGCACTGGGTTTGGCGCCAGAGGAACTAGATTCAAATCGTGGAGCTCTGTGTGACCTTAGGCGAACCTGGCCTCCCCGGGGCTGCGCTTCCTCATCTGTGAAAGGACAGGCCTGCAGGGGAAGAGCCTGGAGGCTGCCCAGGATTACACTCTTCCATGGAACGGCAGCTGCCTCTGGTTTCTTTCACGTCCCAGATAAAATGCCTCTTTCCTAATCCTCCTTCATGGGAGTGCCTTCCCAAACTCCCTCCTCCACAGAGCTCTCAGTAGCCCCAGGCAACCCACCTAAAGCACTAAACGGTAGAATACAGTAGTCCCTGACCTGCACTGCCAGAGGAGCTACCTGGACCGACAAAATCGATAACTGTTTTTAAAGCCCCTACTACGCACCAGACACAATGGATGCCTCATAAAGCCCAATCCTATAGGACGACAGGCTTGGACCTGGCAGGGCCTTACATTGTACAGATGAGGAAACTGAGCCCCAGGCAGGCTAACTATGGTGTTATGGCACTTCTGACCATTTTAAACTATTTTTCCAAGAAGCATTCCTGTTGAGCTAAAAAGTTAAGTGTCTTTTCATTTCACATGCATGTACATATTTTGTACATTTTTAAATAGCAGTGATGAAACACATCATCTTAGGTTTTAAGCCATTGTCCATGTAAAAAATTTAGCCTACAAAATGTGCCAATGGGATTCCATCCACCTAACTTCACTAAGCAACTTCAATGTGGGTCACTCGTATCTTTATTTCAACAAACTACACAAAAAAATCAAAGGCTCGCACACTATTTGCAAATCAAATTGCTCCTTCTTTGAGCACTCTGATGAGGCCATGTTTATTTACTCACTGCTCAAAGGCACAGGGCTTCATTGCTAGGTCACTGACAGATGGAGCTTTTGTACCAAACGTTGATTACATATGGTCTCTGGATTCAATCAGTCAATCCCCCATGACACAACAAAGAACACTGAAGCCGAAGCTGGGCCTGGACAGTGGGCACTGGTACAAGGAGGGCAAAGAGGTCAGTTTGGAGGCAGAGACAGCAAGGACCGTGGCCACCAGCACAATACACAGTTGGACAGGGAGGAGAATGGCAACGAAAGACTTCTCCACCTGTTTCAAGGCCCTCCTAAGAAGGGACAAAAGAGCGGGGACCCTCATCCACCAAAGCCTGGGCAAGCCACATTACTTTGTCTGTAAAATCTTCAGTCTCCTTAGCAGAAGGTTATTTTCTAAAAACATGACAGGGAGGAGACAGGGAAATGTGTTTTTCCCCTGTTTCTACAAGGCCAGAGGTTCTTTAAAAACAATCTTAAAAGGGGGCAGCTAGGTGGCACAGTGGGTAGAGTTCTGGCCTTGGAGTCAGGACGACATGAGTTCAAATACAGTCTCAGACACATGACACTTACTAGCTCTGTGACCCTGGGCAAGTCACTTAACCCCGACTGCCTCACCAAAAAGCAAATAATAACAATAATAATAATAATAATAATAATTAATAATAATTTTAAAAGAAAGGAAAAAATGAGTCAGAGGCCCCAGAACTGAATACTTCCTTAGCTACTCGCTCTCTGTGTGATTTTGGGCCACATCATTTAATATCTCTAGGACCTGATGACCTCTTGGAGTCCCTCCCAGCTCTAAGCCTGTGAGTGTGGGGTCTCTCATGTCTGTCTGTCTGTGTCTTTCTCTCTGTCTCTCCCTCCCTTCCTCTCCTTCTCCCCCCAGCTCCGCCATCTGTCTCTGTTCTCTCTCTGTCTCTCTGTATCAAACTCTGTCTCTATCTCTGTCTCTGTCCCTCTGGCTTCACAGTCTGAACTTGCTACCGACTGCTGTTAGTATGTGACCACCTAATAACCCCTAGGGGAGGAGCACGCATTTCATTTACACTGATCCCACAGGATTACCTAAGAAACTTCAAAGGTATCTAAATTTAAAATAAGAGGTCACAAATGCACATGGTTAAGGCTCGTTGTGACAGACACTTCAAAAAAAAAAAATCCCAAACATGAAACAAAAATAATCTCATCATAACGCCAGAGAAAGACTGACAATTACTGAGGCATTCCTTGTCTTTCAAATGGACTTACCTTTGTCTCTGTTCAACAGCTTCGTCCAAATGATGAAATATGTCCTGGAACAGGCTGCAGCTGGACCGACTGTTGATTGCATAGCCGTGTCCCCTTTTCCAATACTGCTTCAGGTCATTCAGGTATTCCAGCACCTGGAAGTGTACATTTTAAAAAGCTCTGCTCTATTTTTCAAGGTCGCAGTAACTCACTCCCCTCACAGAAGAGCCGCTAGCAGGCTCCTGAGTGGCACATCCACGTGACATGGCTAAGCTGCAGAGGCGTACTGAGGACAGGAGCTGCTGCCTCCCAAGGGGGGTCAAGGCTCTTTTCAAGACCCTCCTGGTAAGGGGCAGCTCCGTTCTGTTTCCCCTCAGGCCTGACTGCCAACCATGCTCTTTAAGGAGAACAATGATAGATCACATGAATTACAGTTATGGAATTAAATTGGACTTAGGATCGAAACAATATTAAAGTAACTACCACTAAGCCATGCCCGTCCAATTTGAGGTCAATAATTTAGCAAAATCCAGTGTGTAGCATGTCCCATCCTGAAACTCTCCAGTAAATTAGGTCAGCTGCCCCCAGGAGGATACTTCAGCACTCTACAATCATCTCTGGCACAGCCTGGAGTACAGAGAGGTGACAACCATTTGCAAAGCCAGACTCACAGAAACCAGCACGACAAAGAACATGCTGCTAGACATCACCAGCATGGGAAAGTAGGGAACACCAGAAAAACCTATTGATTTTGCAGTTAGAAAACTATCCACATGTTAGCTGCTGCTTCTGGCTTGGCCTTGCTCATCTCCCTTCTGTGCTAGTGACTTCTCTTCCTGCCTGAGGCAGGTGTGACTTGCCTGAAGCTGTTATATTCATAGCTAAGATCTAAATGCAAAGTAGTTACCTTATTCTTCCTTGAGAAGGGAACCTGTGATTTCATCAGCATAAGGTTCTTCTCAATGAGTAAACTCCTCCCACTGACACAGGAGAGCAGATTCTCGCAGCTCCTCACCTCAGGTCTCCCTGCCTCCCTGGCAAGCTCTCTGTCCACTCCCCGATGCTGCCTCTCACTTCTATAGTCTCCTAATGCAATCCAGCTATATTTGCTTTTAATATTTCAAAGCTCCCTGCTACTCACAGAAACCAAAATCCTCCAAAACCCGTAACAGACTACCTTCATGAATTGCTGTGGCCAAAAACAATCCGCCACCTGGTGGTGAACCAGTAAAGTTATACTATAGGTTACATGGGCTTTCATGGGCTGCCTTGAAAAACCACACATCCCTTTCTTATCCGTTGTTTCTGTGGGAAACTATGTTTTGAGTCCCAAATAACCATTTTACATATGAACAAAGGAAAAGGATCCACATGCACAAACATATTTATAGTAGCTCCTCTTGTGGTGGTAACTTAGGAGGAAGGGGGAGGGGTGTTTGTCCATCAATTGGGGAATGGTTGAACAAATCGTGGCAGGTGAGTGTAACAGAATACTCTTGTGCCATAAGAACTGATGAAAGAGGCAGTTTCAAAATAACTTGGGAAGACACAGATGAACTAATGCAGAAAAAAATGAGGAGTACAATTTATACAATAACAACATTGTAAAGATAAAAAAACTTGGAAAGATTAAGAATGTTGATCAACATAATGACCAAGATGATGAAGGCTGCTGCTCACCGCCTAACACTGAGGTGAAGCACTCACTGTAGAATGTGACAGATTTTGGGGACATGGCAAATGGGGTATGTTTTGCCTGACTATGCATATTAGTTACAAGGGGTTTGATTTTCTTCAATGGAGACATGAAAAAGAAAATAGATTTCTATTAATTTTTTAAAATGAACTCAAAGTTTTATTTAATAATTAATTTATCCAATTGTCAAGAGTAAGTCACATATTACTTTCATTTTAATCCCTATTTAGGAGATCCATTCAATCCTTCATGGAAAAGAAGCAGAAACACGCAGTTTTCTTTACCGGGACCCTGGGTTCCAAGCTCCCCAGCACTAAGTCATGCTTTCCCACAATGTCTCTCCTTTTAGAAGCTGTGCCTGATTGAATGCTGAGCGGCTAACACAGCTGCACTCTGCACTTACCTGAGCATCCTCTGTGTCAAAGACATCGCACCAGGGGGACTGAATGTCTCTAATAGCCAAGTCAAATGAGCAGGAAAAAAAGGCGACTTGGATTAAATCTGGTGAAAGAAAGCAAAATGTTCCAAGTTATAATTTCTATTAAAAAAAATAGCAGAAGGTCAATAGTCCTTTGTAAAATAAAGGTTGGATTTGGTCACTAAGGCTCCTTTCCTTCCAGTTCTGAAATTCTATGATTCTGTGAGTTGCACTAAAGCAAGACTTTTTTTTTTCTACCAGGGGTCAATAAAAAAATGAAAAGTTATTTTAAGGTCAAATTCAAGGCTAAAAACAAAAACACACCCAGCTTAATTTGGCTAATATTTAGGGTTTTAGTTTTTAATTATAATTATATACATACACACATATATGGGGGGGTGGGGAAGAGAAAGGAGAGAAAGGGGAGAGAGAGAGGGGGGAGAGAGGGGAGGAGGGAGGGAGAGAGGAGGAGAAGGTGGGGAGACCAGCTGGGAGGCTATTACAACAGGTCAAGTTTAGGTGAGGACCTTTATCAAGATGGTATCTGCAAAAATAGATATTTAGAAGATGGATCTGCCACTCCTCAAAGGAAGAAGGAGGAAGGATGATGGGAGAAGAAGGAACCCAATAACCAAGGTGAGGAGCAAGGGTGATTAAGAAAATGATGAAACAGCCATCAGGAATGAAAGTAAAAAAAAAAATTCAATTACTTAGTGTTCAATTACTAAGGAAGTTATAATACTGAAGATTTGCACCCTTTTCTGGCTTTTTTTTGGTTTGTTTCTAAGTTGTTGATCTACTGACAACTTATTTAGCATAATATGTGTATAATATATAGTTTAGGAGGAAAAAGAGCAACACTCAAGTTAACAGATTGTGCTATATGAGGTTTTTATTGTATGTGCTTACATTCCGGAAAAATAAAATCTAAGTACCAACATAGACATATCTATGCTATTCAGAATTATGGTGGAATGCCCCTGTATCTGGAACCTATTCTCTGGGCAAATTGCAACATTTCTGGACTTCAGGTTGCTCATTTCTAAATGGATTCTGGGAAGACCTGAAGTAGATATGCATTTATTGCACCCTAACTAGAGTTATTTCACTCATATTTACCAAATCCTCTTCACTTAAAGACTAAAGCAAAGGGAACGAATTCCCTCCACCATTTCTACGGATGATTCTAGTTCTCAAATTCTATGACCAGTGAAGATGTAGAATCATGTCTGGTATTTCTTCATACAATAAAGGTTTTTATTCATCCAGCTGGTACTGGATTAAATTCAACCTCAAGGGAGAAAATGTCACCAAGGCACTTATTAATTGCCTTACAGCAATTTACAGATGTGTCAGCTCTTGCAAATGCTCTTTTTATAGTTAACAATGATCCTTTCTCTCAAAAACATGACCGTTTTTATATTTACAATGGGTTCTTTATATATCCAGGTAGAATTCCATTTAAAGAACAAAATGATAACCTAGAGCTCTATGTAATAAAGATCTCTTGGGGCAGCTAGGTGGCGCAGTGGATAGAGCGCTGGCCCTGGAGTCAGGAGGACCTAAGTTCAAATCCATCCTCAGACACATAACACTCACTAGCCGTGTGACTCTGAGCAAGTCACTTAATCCCTACTGCCTCGCCAAAAAAAAAAAAAGGATCTCTCCATTCACAAGGTCATAGTTAAAATTAATGCTACTTTGCTATGATTTTTAAAAGAAAAATTCTGTGTAAGAAGCTCTTCCCCATATAGTAGTCAATCTCTTCAATAACGATATTGCACTTTCAACATATTGCCATATTTCAATTCCTAAACAACAGTTAAACTTTGAAAAAAATTTCAGAGGGCTATAGAGGAGAGAGGGATGGTGTCTTCCTGTTCTGAGAGGGCAAAGAGTGCTCCCTTCTGGGAAAGGGGAGCTAAAGAATATCATGCGCATCGGCAGTGTTCAGCTCAAATAGAAACAGAGGGATACATAAATAAGCATCCAATCTGTGGCCCCCTGTTTTCTTAAGAAATCACACATTAACACTGTCTGTGTTCAACTGCATTATTACTTACTTAATTAAGCATTTCTCAATCCCACTGAGACCCGGTTCAGGCGCACTGCAAGCTGAGGGGTCGTAAGCCCTGATGAAGACAACAGGGTTCTGCCAGCGCTACACGTAGCGGGCATTAGTGGATGATGGCCTTCTGTATCTGAAATGCTGTTTCTAGGCCAGAGAGCATCGTGCCACCTGCTGCTGTGGCCAGAAGAGCTCCTCTTTTGATGAACCAGGTTAGTCAGACTGTCCACAGACTGTCCTGGGGATGCTATCTGTGCTTCTCAAAGTGTGGAGGCCTTGCGGGGGTGGTTCAGGCCCTCCTAGCACAGGCTCGGAGACTCCCAGGCTGCTGCATCACAACGAGGGAGGCTCTGGAGCATGACTTTAATGGAGAACTGTCACAACTATCATCTCATTACTGGAGGGATTGCCCACTCCAATGAGACCATATAATAAATAACAGGGCTTCGGGTTTGGGTTTTGTATTTTGACCCTTGTGATGATTTCATCAGTACAGAGAAATTCCAGTGAAGAAATCCCCTGGACTAGGGCCAGCTGGCACCCACTGTGCAATTTATACCCTCAGAGAGCAGCCTGAGGCACTAAGAGGATGACCGTCCAGCGTCACATGCCAGTCTGGGGCAGTCGACAGAAAGCTTCCTGGAAGTCGGAGAGACATCCGGGCTGAGTGACACTGCGTAGGAATAAGAGTAATAAATAATAACAGCTCACACGCTGAAAGACCACCAACCTCGGAATTGATTCCAGTGAGATTTTAGGAAGGTCCCAAGGTCTTAGGAGAGTACAAAATTTAACGGAAGGGAAGGGGCAAGAGGATTAGGAACGAGGAGAGGGAGTTCTCAGAACTAGGGGGTGCTGGTGGTGAGGAAGGATGGCACACACAACTCCAGGACATTCTAAGCACAGGAGCAAGCAGCAGCTAACGAGGGGGAACTAGGCCCTCCGAAATTCCTTTACTGAACTGCTCAGTAAGAATCATATCAATGATGCGCAAATGAGTGCCTCATCAAAGTGATTTCCAAATATTTTATTTTCTTAAGGGCAAAGAGATCCCTCCTACTTTTTTTTTATACCCTTTGCTTAGCAAACCTAAAATTTCACCCTTGTAACAAATTCCAAATTAGATGAGAATAATTACACTGACTGCCAAGCACTTGTTTGTAGTTGGGAATTCATTTGTCCCTCAGAGAGAACACCAGTTTCCTCATGTTACTCTTCAGGACTCCAGAGTCATGACAGAAAAGCCCTAAGAGGCAAACTTCAGCAAACAGTCCAAACCTGACTCTCCTCTATTTCTCCCCAAAGCAGCCGCACAGGTGACCTACGCCGAGTTCAAATCCAATAACCTTTTACTGGGCTCTCACCCTCCTCGTCTTTTCTGAAGCGACTGACTGTGCTGACCGCTGCCCTTTCTTTGATCCTCTCCATTTCCTTCCTTCCCAGAGTCTTCACTCTTTGACCTATTTCTACACCTTTGCTGACTCTGCTCTCCTCCACCCCCTTCAAGGGTCTGCACCTATCCCAGCTCCCCTCTGCTTTTTCTCTTGGAGACCTCATCTACTCATGTGGACTGAATTATCACCTACATACAAATCTATGTCTCCTGCTACAGCTACAGTCAGATAGCTCTCTTGGCAGGTCCCACTGGCATCTCAAACAAACTGGGCCAACAGTGAACTCCTCTGGCCTCCTGACCCATACCTGCTCCTCCCCCAAGCTCCAGCTCATCTCCAAATCAGTCACTACCATTTCTACTTCCCAAACCTCTCTCACCCATGCCCTCTCCCTTTCACTTCTCTAGCCACGCCCAGTGCAGATCCTCTTCACTGCTCACTCCGCTCATCTTATCACTGCCTAACCACTCTTCCTGCCTCTGGTTCCCCCTCCCCCAACCCATACTGTCCCCTCCTGCTCAAATCACTGTTTTAATCTACCACTCTGCTCAGAATATTTCTCTACTCCACAACATGTGGTGAGGTCTCACTGCCAATCACGCTATGAACACCTTTTAAACAGCCAACTTTTCTGGCCTACCTTCATGGGCTCCCGCCATCTTCCATGCCTGGCATGGACCATCCTCCCCATGTCTAACTAGTGCAATCTTTCCTTTCCTCCAAGGCCTGGCTCAGGTGCCACCACCTCCAGGCAGCCTTCCCACATTCCCCTGGCTGAAAGTACATCTCTCTCTCCTCATTTTTCTCACAGCATTTTATCTGGACCTCACCTGTGCACTTAGCATAAACCCTCCCCCCATCAATGATGGCCCTAACATTTAGCTATTCATACCTGCCCATAACCTTGTCATCTCCAACTTCTCCCTCTGCTCTAATCCATCTGACCAATCAATTACCAAATTCCATTTCCCAAGTCACTCGTGAAGACCCTCGCTCTTCCCACCTCTGGCTTTGGGGACCCACAAATATCACCACAGCCCAAATGCTAAGCTCCTCCCACCTGTGCTATTTTGAAAGCCTCTTAACAGACATCACTGCCTCTAGTCTCTTCTCGCATTAACCTATCCAACATACCATAGCAAATCAGGTGGTCTGATATGTATTGCTTACAAAAGACCCAACTGCTTAATGTGGCACTCACAGACTTCAATCTTCTCTCCTACTACTCCCCCTTATATACTCTAACTGGATCACTACCCATACCCCAACCATCCCACCCTTTCCTGTCTCCACAGCCTTACAAAGGCACTTTCTCACATGAGCGTACCCATTCTGCACTCCCCTCCCCCATCACTCCCTCCCTGTAGCCTCATCCCATTTCATATTCTCCATGTCCATTTGTAACATCCTAACCCTCTGTGCTGCACTTACATGTATCCATGTCTCCTTGATAGAATTTACCCTCCTTAGGCAAGGACTATCTTATTTATCTTTGTATCTCCCTGGGCACCCACAACAGTGGACTGCATAAATAAGGGTTCAATAGATGTTTGTTAAGTGAATGGAAAAATGCTCTTTCCCAAGGCTACTTGCTGTCAAAAAGTACCTTCCATAAATATAAATGTCCACAAAAATTAAGATCTAAGATTCTAAATATGAGGTACATAACTGAACCTCTAGGGCACAAAATATATTTACTTTCAGGTTCTTTAGCAGGATCAATCCTGAATCCCACCTGTAGTCCCAGGTACCAAGGAAGCTCAGGCTAAAGGATCTCTTGACCTTTGGAGTTCTGAGCCAGAGTGGGTCACACCAATGCAGACAGGACAAAGTTCAGCAGCTTAACATTAATATAGTGAGGGGCCAGGGGCAGAGGGAAGTTGCTCAGGGTGAAAATAGACCAACTCCTGCGACAATCAGTTCTGAAATCTCTGGTGAGTAGCTCCTGAACTTCCAGCCTAGGAAAGATCCAAAAATCCAGTCTTCTAAAATGAATGAGTGAATGAAAAAAATAGGATTAACACCGTAGGTTTCCTTGCTCATTACAAGGAAGTAACATTATTCGCTATTTAAAATACAAATAAATATAAAAAGGTACCTTACCTGCATTTAAATCACTTATTGGCACCTGCAAAATAGCTGCAACTTTTTTAATAATTTTCTGCATTTCTGGTCCATTTTTGAAGGCTTCTACCTGATGAAGAGCTGAATCATTCTTTTCCACCTCAGCTAGGAACTTTTCACAATGATCAAAAAACCTCATAAGTTTATCATTTATCTCAGGTGGCCCAAACTCCACATCTGAAAGAGAAAATAAAAAAAAAAGTTTTACAGCAAGGTACTGACACTTGAAATAATAATTTGGGAAACATTACTCAAATAATATTTAGTCTCAGTGCAGACAGTAAAAGCCAATAACTTATTAATTTGAATACCTGTATTAAGTATTCACTGATGATAGTAGAGCCCAAGAAGGCTCAGAAACCTAACTGTCCCTCCATTTGTCATCACTGTGATTTATTTATTCATCTGGTACAAAAGACAGAAAAAAGTGTAGTGTTTCTGGAGTGCACTGAGATCGCATAAGATGTGCTCTCTTTCAAGAGACAGACAGACAGTCCCATACAAATCTTATCTTGGTGTCTCAGCACGGCATAGAGATGAAGTTCTGAAGAGTGTGACAGGCTATCTGAGCAGGCAGGGCCTGCTGTTCTAGTGTGGCACTCCAGATGGGGCACCATCACCAGAGATGACTCACTTTTCCCAGTTGCCAGAAATTCTAAGGCAGTGACTGGCTATTACTGATAGCCTCAAAGACAAAGATGATATAAAAATATTAATTCATTCCAGCTAAAATTAATATTAACTTCATTTCTGACAACAAGGAAAGATCTCAAACCTTTAACTGGCTACAAGGATGCTGAGTAGTTCTCAAGAAATAACAGATTTCTTTCAATAAAAATAACAAAATTTTCCTTAAAATGATTTCTTTTTCTATCAAGGTTAAGGGGGGAAAGAAAGATAGCCTAGCCATCCAGATCTCAAAATGTATCATAAAGGGGTAATCACCAAAACAATCTGGTCCTGGCTAGGAAATAAAGTGAAGAATAAGTGGAATAGATTAGGTACCCAATGGCCATAGTAAAATAGTGTTTGATAAACCCAAACATCAAAGCTTTTGGAAAAAGAACCCAATATCTGACAACTGCTAGAAAAAATGGAAGATATTACGGCATAAACTAGGTATAGACCAACATCTCACACAAACCACCCACCAAGATAAGGTCAAAATGGACACAAGCTTTAGACATAAAGGTGATACCATAAATAAATTAGGGGATCATGGACTAGTTTACTGTCAGATCAATAAATAAGGGAAGGATTTATGACCAAAAAAGAGATAGCATTACATGGTGTAAAATGGATAATTTTGATTACATTAAATTACAAAAGCTTTGTACAAACAAAACCAATGCAATCAAGATTAGAAGGAAAGCAGAAGACTGGGGGAAATTTTTTACAGCAAGTGTCTCTGATAAAGGTCTCATTTCTCAAATATATAGAGAAATGAGTCAAATTTATAAGAATACAAGTCATTCCCCAACCGAAAAATGGTCAATGGATAGCAGTTTTCAGATGAAGAAATCAAAACTACCCGTAGTCATATGAAAAAATGCTCTATATCACTATTGACTAGAGAAATACAAACAAAAACAACTCTGAGGTACCATTTCACACCTTTCAGATTGACTAATATGATAGAAATAGAAAATGATAAATGTTGGAGAGGATGGGGGGAAACTGGGACATTAATGCACTGTTGGCAGAGTTGTGAATTGATCCAACCATTCTAGAGAACAACCTGGAACTATGCCCAAAGGTGTAAAAAACCCTTTGACCCAGCAATACCACTACTAAGTCTGCATCGCAAAGAGATTTTTAAAAAAGAAAGAAAGAAAAGGACCTATTTGTACAAGGGTATTTGTAGCAGCTCTTTTTGTGGTGGCAAAGAATTGAAAACCGAAAGGATGGCCATCAGTTGGGAATCACTGAAAAAGTTGTGGTATATTGACTGTGATGAAATACCCTGTGCTATAAGAAATGATGAGCAGGATGCTCGTGAAACCCAAAAGACTTACATGAACTGATGCAAAGTGAAGTAAGCAGAACCAAGAGAATACTATCCATAGTAACAGCAATGTTGTATGACCATCAATTGGGAATGACTTAGCTATTACCAGCTATACAAAGATCCAAGACAATTCTGAAGGGCCTGTGATGAAAAATGCTATCCACCTCGAGAGAAATAACTGGTGGAATGTAAATACAGATTGAAGCATGTTGTTTTGTTTTTACCTTATTTTTCTTGCTGTTTTTTTATCTGTGTTTTCTTTTGCAACATGAGTAATATGGCAATATGTTTTACACGACTGCACATGAATAACCTTTATCAAAGTTCTTGCCTCCTGAATGAGGGGGGAGGGGAAGATTCAAGAGAACCTGGAACCAAAATTTTAAAAAATGAATGTTAAAAATTGTTTTTGGGGCAGCTAGGTGGCACAGTGAATCGAGCTCTGGCCTTGGAATCAAGAGGACCTGAGTTCAAATCCAGCCTCAGACATTTAACACTTACTGTGTGACCCTGGGCAGGTCACTTAACCTTGATGGCCTCACCAAAAAAAGAAAAAGAAAGAAAAAAATTGTTTTTACATGTAATTGGAAAAAAATTTTTTAAAGAAATCTGGGGAAAAAAAGCTTTCTTTTTCTATGTTCACGAGACTGGATTTCCCATGAAAATTATATTGAAACTTTAATAGTATAAATAAATGAAAGAAAAAGCACCTTAAAGCACTTACAAGGTACAGGTACAAAAATATAAAAGCAAGACTCCCCAGCTCTGAAAGAGCTTCCAGCCTCTAGCGGAATGGGGGCCAGGAAAGGGTGAGCAAAAGGAAGGCTAGTGGGTGGATCATAGGTCCAAAGCATTATGGATTTAGTGCTGGAAGGTGCCTTAGAAGCCATCAAGTACAACATTCTCCCTCTACAGATAGCAAATTAACTCCTAGAGACCATCAGTTAATAAACGCTTTTTATGTGCCAGGCACTATGCTAAGCTCCAATGACATAAAGATAAGCAAAAAGAATAAATTTAGTGACTTGAGTCCTTGCCCTCCTGCCTTGTCAAACTCTTTCTTGTGGAAATCCAGTAAGCCAACTGACTCCATCTTCGGACTCAACTCTGGAGCTAGCTCAGTTCCCTTTCTATTCAATTATAGGTCTAGTCCAACTTCCGTTTTGTGAGAAAACTTTATTCAATTATAGGAGCTGTGAGAAAACTTTATTGCATTCTTTGAACTCAGCCCTGCATGGTTAGAAAGCTGGACTAGAAACCTGGTAAGATCCAAAGACTGTTGTAATGAGTTCTCTAACAACAGTACATCTCAAGCAATCCCTATGTCTTATCTGAAAATCTGCCTGTACTGGTCAATCAGTCACTGTTTTCGTGTTCCTCTGATTGTTCACAAACACTTGGGGGCTCAGAATACCTCTCCTCCTCCCGACTTGTAAAGTCCCTAATCTTTCCTCCAATTAGAAGTCAGATGACTTAGTCTTGCATCCTGCTTTCTAAGTGTTCTGTCCTCCCCTGTCTTTGGTGTCCAGTGCCAAGCTGAGGAGGCCTGGTTCCAATTTGTTTGGCAATTGGCACACATTGCAATAAAGTGATACACTCTGAAGCTCAAACCTTTGTTTCCTCAATTATTTCAGATTTCATCTTAGGTGACTCCCAGCCTTCCCACATCCTCCACCTTTCCTCCTATTCACATGCTGGAGAAAATCACAAAACCATCTGCTCTGGGCCTCTGAAGCAGCACTATCCCACTCCCCACCAAATCTTGTCATCTCCCTGCCCCGCCCCCTCAGCAGAGGGCCTCATAACCACCAAAATATCCTGAGACCTTTGGATGACAACTCACTCTTTGTCCCTTCTCCTTGCCAAGGAAAACCCCTCTCCATGCATCCTTGATCCCATCCCATCCTGTCTTCTATCGTTCCTCCACAAAACAGCAATGTCTTCCTATCCTGCAACCTACAACACGTCCATGGCTTCGCCAACTTTATAAAAGCCTCTGGATCTGACCACTGCCTTCTTCTACCTCCTCTCCTCTCCATAACTCCTTGAGAGGGCCTTCAGTGCCTCCACATCTTTTCCTCACTTTCTTAGCTCTCAGCAGTCTGGCTTCCAACCATATCATTCAACTGAAACTGCTTTCCCAAAGTTACTGCCAAGCACTGTGCTAAACACCAGAATTATAAAGAACAGCCAAAAACATTCAGGGCTTAGTTTAACTGGAGAGACAACATGCAAACAACTGTGTCCACACAAGAGAGATAACTGCACAAACTGGACATAATCAACAGAGGGATGGCACTAAGCTTGAGTAAGGCTTCTTGCAGAGGGTGGGACCTCGTGTGAATCTTAAAGGAAGCCAGGAGGTGGCAACAAGAGAGTTCCACGGAGGGGGGACAACTACCGAAAATGCCTGGAGCTTCGGGATGGAGTGTCTTGTGTGAGGAACAAGGGGGCCAGGGTCACTGGATCACAGAATGGGTGTGAGGGGTGGGAGTGGAAAATGGGAAGAGGTATGAAGAGAAAAGTAGGAAAGACTCAGGTTGTGAAAGCTTTAAAGGCCAGAGGATTTTTTATTTAACCCTGGAAGTAACAGGGAGCCACTGAAATGTATTGAATAGTAGGGTGACATGTTGAGACCTGAAGTTCAGGAAGATCACTTTGACAGCTAAGTGGATAATGGACCACAGGGGGAGATCACTGAGACAGAGATCAATCAGAAAGTCATTGCAGAGGTGTACAGGAATCTACCCTGACCTACCGGAAGACAGAAGGGGAAGAGGATAAGAGAAGGGGGTGACGACTGAGGGGAGGCAGATTAGGGAAAGGGATATTCATAATGCACACTGTCTTGGGGTGGGGGAGGGGTGGGATGGGGAGAAAATTTGGAACTCAAAATCTTATGGAAATGAATGTTGAAAACTAAAATAATTAATTTAGAAATTTTTTTTTAAAAAGTCATTGCAGGAGGTAATAAGGGCAGGCACCAGTGTGGCAGCTGAGTGGAGAAAGGGATGTGTAAGAAACAGAAGAAGAAAGGATGAGGACCTTTCAGCAGAAGGCTGAACCCATGACCCTGGCCTCACAGTCCATTAGCTTACTGAGCTAGCCAGCTGAAACCACAAAAACGGCAGTTTTTCAAGGCAATGGCAGTTTCTAAATCTACAGGGTGGAGGACCAAACATTGGAACAGCATGATAAGACACATCATTCTCCATTCAGACCTCTTAGAGCCAATAAAATTAGCAAAGTATAAAGGCAGAACATGGTAGATAAGGTAAAGAGGTGAACTGTAGTCGCTGCTGAAGTGTTAAGAGAACACCAAAAAAACACTAAAGAGTCAGGAGTAGGAATTAATATACATCCAGGAAAGATGAGGAAGGTGGTATAAGCATTAGCCACATAATGATTTGGTTCAAGTAAAATGACAAATGCACTGAAATTGGGTTTCCATCCCAGCTCCTCTACCTAATAATGGTGTGGCCTGAGGCAGGTGACTTCACACTTTGAGATTTAGTTTCTACATCTGTAAAATGAGGTTAACAGTAGCACTAAACTCTTCAGCCTTACATGAAGGCCCTCCATTCTGGCTCCAATATCCTTTCTCATGCTTATTCATGTCACTCTTGTCAGACCCCTCACCAGGAGAAGTACCTGGTGAAACAGTCCTCAAGGACTACATAACCATGCCATGATTACAACATACAAGCAGAGACCATCTTCCTGTAAGAAGTGGCGAGGAAACATGCAATGCTAAAAAGGCTGACCCAATAACAGAGTAAAATCGTTCATCACAAGTCCAAGATGCTCTATGAAGAATTTCTGGAACACTGACAAAATCTGAGAAGATCAAAATAGGTGGATGGGAAGTAGGCTATGTGTGTGTGATCGAGGCCTAGGTGGATGGGATCATAGATTTAAACTTTATTATCACTACTACTAATCAACTTCCCAAGCTTCAGCTTCCTCATCTGTAAAATGGAGATGACCACATCATTAACTAGGACCCAGGTGGGTGAGATCATAGGTCCAAAGTCTATAATTACTACCACTAATCTTCCTGAGCCTTGGTTTTCTCATCTGTAAAATGCAGGTGATCACATGAATAACTACTTATGGCACTGCCTTCTCAAAACAAGTTTATGAATCAGGCAGCATATTTTCACAGCATCATGTAAGTGAATTACCCTAAGTTTACAAAAGGATTAGAGGTTACTTAGCCAAGGTTACAAAGTGAATGTAAAGTCTTAAGCCCAGGCTCCACTTGCACACAGCCTCGCTCCCTCCACAGGGCCTGCTCTAGAGCTAAGGTTTTAATAACTGTTTTTAATAGGACTGCATTCTTGGTCATCCTACACGTTTTATTTTGTTCACTTAAAAATAGGATTCCAGGGGTCCTGGAGACTTCCTGAGCCCGCCAAAGGAGACAGACAGACAGACAGACAGACAGACAGACAGACAGACAGACACACACACACACACACACACACACACACACACACACGCCGTGATCTAGAGAGCTGGAAAGCACCTCCGAGCTCCTCAATTCCCCCAACTTCACGTCGGACACCGGAGACCGGCGGGGGAGGGCGACACCGGTCAGTGACAGCCCAGGGGCGGGAAGGTCGCTGTGAAGCGCAGGCCTGGGCGGACCTTAGCTAGAGCCCCGGAGAACCGCGGGCAAGGCCAGGACCGGGCCGGTGCCCGTGTCCGCGTCTGTCCCGGCCAGCCCGGCGTCCTCGGCACACGAGCCCTCAGTGGCCGGTCCCGGCCTCGCTCGGCCCTCGGTGAACTGAAGCATCTCCCGGCCGGCGCGAGGGTCTGAGGAAGCCGGCCACCCCGGATGCCCCGCCGCCGGTCCCGGGGCCGCCGTCCCCCCGCCCAAGGTCGCGGAGGGGGAGGGGAGGGAGGAGCGGCCGCCCTACCTGCCGGCTCGGGCTCCGGGCGGCCCGGGTGCAGCTGCGCCCAGAGGCCCCGTGCGAAGGCCACGGCGCTGTCCACGCAGCGCGGCTTGGAGCTGGACACGAGGCGCACGCGGGCCAGGCCGGCGCGGCCCAGCAGCGGCGGGAAGCGCGCGGCCAGGCGGGCGGCCAGCTGGCGCATGTCGCGCCGGCCCTTGTCCACCAGCTGCCCGTCCATCCAGTCCTCGTAGGCCAGCGGCCAGCGCGCCAGCGCGCCCGCCAGGCCCGGCCCCGGCGGCCCGGCGCGGAGCAGCAGCCCGTGCAGCGCCCGCAGGCGGCCCACCTGCTTGGCCGTGGGGTAGCGGGTGCCGTGGCGCACCAGGGCCACGAGCTGCAGCGGCGCGCACGACCCCGCGGGGCCCAGCCCCGGCCCCGGCCGCGGCCTCGCCACATCCTCGTAGCGGCTCTTGGTGCCGAAGTACGCGCTCAGCGCCGACGCGCGGCCCGCGGGCGCCCGCTCCGCCAGGGCGCAGGCCGCCACGCAGGCGAGCAGGACGGCGGCGCCCGGGACCCCGAGCCCCCAGCGCAGCAGCAGCCGCCGCTGCCGCCGCCTCAGGGGGAGCATCGCGACCGGCCTCGATCCGCCGCACCGCCACTTCCGCGGGGCGGGGCGGGCCTTCCGGGCCCGGGGCCAACCGGCTCCGCCTTGGGCTACACAGGCGCGGCTGCTGGCGCAGGCGCAGAGGCGGACGCGGGCGGCCCGAGATCTGCGGCGTTAGCCCCGCCCCCCGAGAGCAGCAGCGTTGGCCCCCCCCCCGTGCCCGCCCCCCCCAGCTCTGCAGCATCAGCCCCGTCCCCGCCTCGCGCAGGCTCTTTTAGGTGGGACGGGCCGGGGGCCCCCGCTGTGTTCTCTGTCTAGGACTCTTTCCCTCTCTCCCCCCCACTCCCCACTCACACATAAGCTCTTGGAACCAAAGCCCGTCGAGTCTGTCTTTGGAGCTCCGTGGCTGGCTACAGTGCCTGGCACAGAGCAGTGTTTGCTGAATGAATGACCCCGAGGGAAGTCCTGGGATTTAGAGCAGCAGGAAGTCCCAGGGAGCCGGCGAGGATGGCTGGTGCCTCGTCTGCTTCATCGCACTGGATTCTCCCGATTCTGGGATGGAGCTTCGTTGTTCTTGTTGACGACCGAGCCTGTGGTTTCGTCCCTGTGGGCAGCACCCGGGGAGGAACACCCCTGACCCTTGAAGACCCGCACCTGCTCTGCAGTTTCATCTCAGAGAACTGCAGGTAACATCATCATCGCCATTTTACAGATGAGGAAACTGAGGTTCAAAGAAGGGACCCAACCGTCTCCTTATAGCTGTCTGTGGCAGATTCAAACACAGGCCTTCCTGACTCCAAGTTTGCCACTCACCGTCTCGCCGTACCAACTTACCTGGTACAGGCATACTTTGCCTCATTTTATTCATGGGCAAAGGTCAGAGGAACACCACATTGCAACATAAAGCACTCTGAAATCAGGAGTCAGGGAACCTGGGTTCAAATCCTAGCTTTGCTACTTGTATGACCTCCTCCCGCAAGATCCTTCGTGCCTCTGGGCCTCTGTGTCCTGTGTCAAATGAAGAGGTTGGATTGTATATCCTCTGAGATCCTTTCAGGATTTAAAATCTACGAACTCTGCAAGGTTATACCACTACTAAAAGAGAGTATCTGAATTTGAATCCAAGTTTCCTGGCTCCAAATCCGCTTGGGATCTAGATCAGGAAGGGAGCTTAGAGACCGCTACCCCAATCATTTCAGAGGTGAAGCTGAGACCCATTGAGAGAAGCATGGCAAGTTAGCAAGCATGTGCCGCACACAGTACTAAGTCCTGGAAATACAAACCGAAGCAGAAAGAATGAGAAGCCTGCGTTCTGAGGGAAAAAGACAACGTGTGTACACACGCACAAAAGGAAATGGGGTTACCCACCCCAGGTCATGGCAGAGAAAGTCTGGGGACTCAGGAGTGCAGGCTAGACTGGAATGAAGAGCTGGCTAGTCTGGATATCTTCCTCAAAGGGAGGATCTGGGAAGAACCAGCCGTTCACAGCTTGGAAGAGGCCACAAGGCCAAGATGGTCCTGTTTGATTTGTAAAGAAGTTGCTGTGGCGGGGAAAAGTCTGGACAGTTAGGGGTGCAGCCTGCAGTGGCTGGAACCCAGGCTGTGGAATCAGAGACACTCATTCAGATCTTGATTGCCATACTGAGTCTGTGGCCATGGCCAAGTCACCTTTCCTCTCTGGGCCTCAGCTTCCTCATCTGTGAAATGGGTAGGTTGGATTTCATGATCTCTGAGGTTCCTTTCAGCTGTAAAGCTATGATCCTCTGGACTGTGCAGGGTAATCTGGGAGTAAGTGGCAGGATGGCTCACTGTACTCTGCCTCTCATAATCCAACCCACATGATAGAGACTTGGCTGTAGATTAGTGTGGGAACCAGCCGAAAATGTAACTGGAAAATATTCAACAAAATACATGAAAATACAACAAAACACAGATCACATTAATATATGGTTTTCCAAGTCATTATGTACCCTCAGGGATCTTTGAACAGCCCATTTCTATTTGAATTTGACACCACTGCTCTAGAGCAACCTTGCCTTATTGTAAGACCATTAAACAAGTTGCCACTAGTGAGGTCTAAGATTTATCCCATCTTCTGGTTTTTAGCACAAGACAAATGTCTGAATATCTCTGTGCTATGAAGCTAGATGAAACATGAATCTGCATGCCATGGGGACAGAGCAGGCAGGCAGATGTTGGGAGTGAGCCCACTGCATTGGCACATGGACGGTGAGGCGGGGGATACAGTGGAGAGAGCCTTACTCACTTCTTTCCTCGACAGTCTCCCTGTAACAAGCCAAAGTGAGACAGTATACATTTGTTATTATGGTGAGGCTCACTGGGAACAAGAAGCTGTGGAAACAACGTTGGTGGGACATTGGTTACTTTGACATCCAAGTCTTCACTATTACAGAGGGTTAAGCTGGAAGTACTGAAGGAAACAGGGAGGGGACAGGCCCTGAGAACAGCCTCAGGCTTTTAATAGCAAGTGATTTGAAATATACTATTACATATGTTATATGAAAAATCTCAGGTTTTCTAACTGTCTGCTCATGCACAATGTGAGTACCTTTTTTATCTTGTCACAGATTAAAGGAACAAAAGGTTTTGAGCTGAACGTGAACCCCAGAGAGCAGCTGGGTCTAGAGAAGATCCTAGAGAGATGACTGGCTGTCATTTAACACAGCCCTGTCGGTCTATGGATCAGGAAACAGAGACTCAGAGACAGGAAATGAACTCTCCAGGGTTGTTCAGGCCTGTTCAACTCTTCATGACCCCCATTTGGGGTTCAGATACTGGAGTGGTTTGCCATTTCCTTCTCCAGTTCATTTTACAGAGAAGGAAACTGAGTCAAACAGAGGTAAGTGATTTTCCCAGGGTCACACTGCTAGTAAGCATCTGAGGCCATACTTGGACTCAGGTTTTCCTAACTCCAGGCTAGGAACTCCATCCACCAAGCCACCTAGCTGCCCAACGTTACATACCTAATAATGATACAGATCAGAACCCTGATCTTCTAAGGAAAAGACTCCTGTTCTTTCCAAAGCATTGCCCTGAGCTGTTATGGCTTTTTTTTTTTTAGGCAATTGGGGTTAAGTGACTTGCCCAGAGTCACACAGCTAGTAAGTGTCAAGTGTTTGGTCTGAGGCAGGATTTGAACTCAGGTCCTCTTGACTTCAGGGCTGGTGCTCTAGCCACTTCACCACCTAGCTGCTCCCCTGCCGTGGTTTTTTTGTGACTGCTTCAAACTAAAACCAATAGTTTTGTCTCACAGACCAACCCCTGGACCCCATGCCATCAAATGACCTAGGGCACAAAACCACTTAACTAACAAGTAACAATGTTTCCTCAATTTAATACCGTTTATATAACAAAGGCGGATTTGATTTGGTTTTAGCTGGGAAGGAGGATTTTAAGTAATGTACTAACTCAGATTCAAATATAGGGACTGACTTTGAAGAGATAGTGCACCAATCCTGCATCCCACTACGTCATTAAGTTAACATCTGTTCATCTCTTCCTCTAGGACCTAATCTAGCTGCCTGCTTTCTTCATTAACTACCTTATCACTGTATCCTAGACATTACCAAAACTAAAGCAGTGTGCCAATACAATGTTCCAGTTCCAACATGGTTAGTGCCAATTCCAAGCATTTTCTTGGTTGAGAATCATTTCAAATTGGGCTCTAAACAAATAGGCCCTTCAGAGCCCTTTATGTTGAAGACTGCTATTGCCCAGGTAGTCAGAGTGATTTCCCTGGAGCCTTTTCCAAACTCGTCCTTCCTCAGCCACCCATTCCTTACCTTTACACTCTATAGACTAACAGCCATGATAGGATTCTCCACATTTTGCAGCTACTTCTAAGTGTTTCCTCCTTGATAGCTCCAGCTCCAGTCCCTTGAAATCCCTAAGAGACACCAAGTGCTCCCAGATACTCACATGATGACAAACCACCTTCAGACACAACCATTCTCTGCTTCCTGGTTGCAAAAAAGGCAGCAGAGTGCCCAGATGAGGGCATGGACATGGAGAGGTTTATGGAGGTGAGTTCTTCACTCATTTCAGAGGGCATTCTCCATTGGGATCAAAGGCAAGATTACATTTAGAGCTTTCTATACAGGGCCCCATTTTCTCTATAGAATGTCTCACTTGATGATCTCATCAGCCCCATGGATTCAATGACTGGCTCTATGCAAATGTTTCCCAGCTCTCCATCCACATCCAGGCATGATCTCCCTCCTAAACATCAGTTCCATATTACCAGCGGCCCTCTGGACATCATGATCTGGTCCCAGGGACATCTCAAACCCAACATGGCCAGAGCAGAGCTCCTTCACTTTCCCACAAAACTCTTCCCTCTCTCTGTCTTTCCCATTACTGTCAAGGGCCCCAGTGTTCCTCCAGTCCCCAGAGCTCCTCACTCCAGCTCACCCCACCAATCCCATTCATTGGCCAATCATGTTTCTACCTTCACAACATCTCTCATATACCCCCTCTCTCCTTCGACATTGCCGTCCCTCTAGGGCAGGCCATCATCGCCTCAAACCTGAACCACTGCAGCAGCCACTTTAAGCCATCTGCTACCCAACTGCCAAAATGATTTACCTAAACCACAGATCTGACCATGTCCCCTCCCTTACTCAGAAAACTCCAGTGACTCCCTATTACCTCCAGTATCCACCAAATATAAAGTCATCTAGAATTTGAATCAATCAATCAATAAACATTTATTGAGTACCTACTATGTGCAAGGCACTGTGCTAAATGCTGGGGATACAAAAAGAGGCAAAAATAGTCTCTGTCCTCAAGGAGCTTACAATCTTCACTACTCAGCCCCCTCCGATTTTTTGTTTAGCCTTTTCTTCCCTCCATATCTTGCCGTTTCTTGAAAACCAGCACCATCTCCCACCTCTTCAACTTTGTCCTGGCTGTCTCTCATGCCTAGAATGTACCCCCCTCACCTCCAACACCAACTTTCCCGGGCTTCCTCAGATCCCACCTTCTGCCAGAGGCATTTCCTTCTCTCTTTGAAAGCTCTCAGCCTCATTCGAAGGTGAGCTCCTTCCTTGGGGACACCTGGTATTTTGGCCTTTTTTGGTGTCCCCAGCGAGTAGCACAGTGTCAGGTACTCATTCACTGGCTAACTTGCCTGTTTGGGATTCCTTTGTCTCATTAAGTATGTGCCCTTAGGGTGCTGTAAGGCTGACGTTTCCCATTTTTATATACACACTGCCCCACTCGACGTTTATTAAGCACCTATGTGTATGAGAGGCTAGATAATGTAATGAATGGAGGCCTGACCTTCAAGTTGGCAAGATTTGCTTTCACTTCTTGCCTCTTCCCCATTACTTCATGGCTCTGGGCAATCTCTTGGTGTTCCAAGGAATTCTCAGTGACTGCAAGTTACAGAACTGTTCTGGGCTTCACTGGGGGGGAAAGAGAAGGGGAAGTTTCCTAAAGCATTCAAATCACAGGTCTAGGCCAAGTGTATGTGTGTATATGTGTGTGTGAATGTGTACATATATATATATATATATATATATATATATATATATATAATATATATATATATATATACATATATATATATATATATATATATACATATATATATATATATATATACATATATATATATATAATATATATATATACACACACACACATACACACACATATACACACATATATGTGTGTGTATGTGTGTGTGAATGTGTCCATATATACATATATACATACACACATATATATACACACATATATGTGTGTGTATATGTATGTATATCTGCATTTATGTATATATAATGTTTATCATACTGTATATTATAACGATATATAACATATCGTTATAATATATACTATACTATATACTATATATTATATATAATATATACTATTATATATATGTATATATATATAAATGATACAGAGACAAAAACTCAAACGATCCCTGCCCTCAAGGCACTTACATTCGGCCCTATATCCTTTTTTGTACATGTCCCGTCTTTCCAGGATCAAGATTGGGAATTATTCTCCCATCCTATCATTGTGTCTGACAGTGGGTCATAGTGGCATTACACATTCCTTATGTACTGACCTAAGCTACTTATTGGCATCCTCCATCACTCTACTGCCTCCGTCCATGGCACATCAACACAAATTGAGCTAACTAATAGCTTTCCAGGGTCCTGTGGTGACCTATTGGGAGCATTTAATATAGTCTACACACAGCTTTATGTCCTGAAAGACCTAGCCTAGATAACAGGCAAAGTCCAGGGAGCTCCAGAGAACAGATTCCTGAATAGAGCAATAGAACACTCTCTCTTTTAGTCCAGACTCAGAGGCTGAGGTGGATTTTGGCCTGACTAAGGCTAATTATGTGACACATGACTTTGATCCTATTGATGCCTATCTCCCTTGGGCTATGGCTTCATCCACAGTGTCCTCCCTCCCTGTTGTGGTATTTTTATTTTCAGCCTCTAATTACATAATTAAGAGTTTAGGGGGAAATTGCTCACAGGAGAAGAGGAGGAGAAAAAAGGGCAAGAAGCAATGACCTATAGGAAGAAGAGTAGGTGCTGTATGTCTACCTCATATGTTTTTCATTATCCCACATTTCTGTTCAGGTTGAAAATGGGCAGTAAAGTGAATGACTAACAAGTGATGCAGATTCTCAGATTTTTTTTAATGTGGTTATCTTAATATCCCAAGCCTCTTTCACAATTTTTCCATCATGCCAAGTTTGAAATAGTGAACCTGGATGGGATCACCTTTTTTTCTGCATGTACATTTTTAAATAGGTTCAGAGTTTGAGGAGCCGGGAATGGGGCTATGGTCCCCACCTCAGGATACATTTCTGTTTCTGCTTTCAAAACTACAAACATGAATCGATGCTAGAAAAACATCTGAATTGGTCTGTGTCATGGGAAATTTGGCACAGAGCCTTCTTCATTGTCTCACTGCAGCCACATGAGGCAATCAGCTGTGCCGATGCCAAGGAGCAGGGAGGCTCTCTCTCTGCCTGCCCCACTAGTCTCCTGGTATTGCCAGGTGGGAAGTAGGTCCATGCAAGCAGAAATTTGGGTCATTAGATAATAAGCCAAGATGTTGTTGGCTCCTGGCTCATCGATCTGGAAGGGACCTATGTCAAGGCTGAATTCCATATGTTACAGATGAGGAAATTGAGGTCAAGGGAAGATTAGATTTCTCCTCCAGATGCTGCCATGGTGGTGAAAACCCTGTGTCTAGGCATGGATGAGATCCCTACCTGCCCAGAAGCCCTTTCTATGATGTTTGTATGAAAAAGCTTCCCACTATTTGTGGGGCCCCTCCATGTTAGCCCTTCTTGCCAGAGCGCCTGGTGGAATTCCAGTCTTGCACAGATCTATGGTAGGCCAGGAAATGGTGCTTCAGTGTGTCTTCAGGATGGTGCTTCTGAGCTGTCCTGTTCCTGGGCATTCTTCATCTAGGTCTTGCCAGGAGAGGAGTGTGGTAAGTGGCATGCAGCAGGAAGAGCCCTGAGCATCAAGTCAAGGGGGCCCGGGCTTCAGATCTCACCTTGAAACTTACTACCTTTGCAGCCAATGGGATTGGGCAAGGACTTCTTCAGCATCTGCTATCCTCCAGGCACTGGACTGGTCCTTGGAAGAGGCCTGAGCAGCTCCACCAACCCCATCCACCAACGGATCAATCCCCACTGTAACCAGCCTGATAAGAAGTGAACCAGCTTGTCATCGGAGACTTCTCTGGCCTCTCAAATCAGCAGCGGATTCTACTTCAGGCAGCTTTCACTAGAAGATGGTGCCTGCCATCAAGCCTAAGTTTTCCTCTTTATAACTGCTACCCACGGCCTTCCTGCTTCTGCCCTCTGGAGTCAAATAGAACCTGGCTAATCCTTCCCCCACATAACACCCCTTCACATATTAGAAAACAGAAGCCTTCTCCCCTCCGGTATAACCATGCACACTCCCAGCCTTCTTTTGGACAGCCATCATTTCCCTCTTCTTCAGTGTCCTGAAGGGCCATGACCAGACTCGGTTGTTCAGCAAGCCTAGAACAAGCTCCTCCCAAGTGCCAGGCACTGGGAGTACCAAGACAAAAATAAAATAGTCCCTGCCCTCAAGGAGCTTACGTTTTATTATTTTGTAACACCATATACTGAACCTAGGACTCTCACAGACACCTGTGTGTTCAGATAGCTCTGCTATTACTAAACCGGGTTGCTGCCTCTTTTGCTATTAATATTCACTAAGAAGCTTAGTTCACAATTGAATCCATCGGCTCAGCATGATGCCACAGGGTCATTTCCCCACGTTTCCACACCTCTCCTCTCCTATACCCTACACTGCCTTGTCTAATTCTCTTTCTCAAGAGATTAAACATCTGCAATTAAATTATACACATCCAGAAGATGATGAACTTCTGGGGGCTAGGTAGGGATGCAGTTTTGTACAACTTTGTATGTCCTATAGTACTCAACACAGTGCCTCACCCATATTAAATGTTTAAAAATGTGTTGGAATAAAGGAATCAAAATTGGTGAGTAGGCAGGTGCTTTATCTTCATAGCAATCTTTACATTCAAAGTTCTCTGCTATCAATTACCTCATCTTTTCCTTCCAAGCATTCTATGAAGTATGTAGGGCAAGTATCATTAGCCTAATTTACACAGGTGGAAATTGGGTTTCAGAGACATTCACTGTCTTGCACAAAGTAAAACAGCAAGTCACTGGAGGAACCAGATTAAAGGAGGAGAGCTTGGGATGATAGTTGGGCTCGGTCCCCTCCCAGAATCATAGAATAAGGAGGAACTTTGGAGGCTCTACAACTGACCCAAAATGATAATAACTCCTATGTATTTGGTTCTTTAAATGCAAAATGCCTTTATATAGATCGCCTCATTTCCACCTCTCAACAAACTTCAGTTGTTATCATAGGATTATAGATTTTAGAACTGAAAGACCCTTAGAATCCATAGTTCAACCTTCTGACTTTACAGTTGAAAACACTGAGCCTCAGAGGGGCTAAGTGACTCAACCGAGGTCATACGGGTAATAAGCAGCAGCGGTAGAATTTGAACCCTGTCCTCAGACTCCAAATCCAACTTTCTTTTGGTTGCACCCATGTTGCCTTTTGTTAAAGTAGGTACAGTGGACCTCGAATCCCATCACAACATCGGTTGGTGTCCAGCCTTTCCTTGAAGACCCCTAATGAAAGCTCAGTACCTCCTGAGATGCCCATTTCCCCTTTGAACAGCAGAAAGCTTCTCAGGAAGCTTTTCCTAACCCTAATTCTGTTTCTAAATAGAAATTTTCCTCTCTGCAACTTCTAATCCTGACCCTAGTTCAGCCTTCTAAGGCCAGGCAGAACACATCAATTAATCAACAAGTGCCTACTATGTGCTGGTACCACACTACGTGTTGTGGCTGTAGTACAAAGAATGCCATAAACCCTACTCCCAAGAAGGGTATATTGAAGGTTATATTCAAATGGAGGAGAAAGCAAGACCTATAGATAGCACAGATATAAATGGGATAAAGACAAATATGTGAGGAGCAGTTAAATAAAAGTTGGCTAATCTCTCTTCTTTGTGACGGTCCTTCACATACTTGAAGACACTATCACGGTCACACACACAACAGCTCCCCCTCAAACCCCCATACACACATATCCAGATTCTCCATTATCTCTCCCAACTTCTAACACCAAGGCCCAGTGAGTAACATGATCTTTCGACAATTCTACACGCTCAGTCTCCACCCCATATACCCTTTTATGACTTATTTACTCTCCATCACTATGAGCTGTTCATTTTTACCCTTACTTCCTCATTGTGGAAATGATGGAAGGAGAAAATACGTGGTAATATGCTCAACCAGCATCTCTGGTGATGACTGAATGTAAAAGGCCTGGGCAGACCAAGAACCAGGTAGGTAGGAAGCCCAGAATCCAGAATTATAGAGCCAATCCGTCAGGATCAATCCAACAGGCAAAATGGGGGCTTTAGGTTGCTTGGTTTGGGAATGGAGAATGGAATGGGAATACAGATGAGGGAGGATAGAATCTAGTTAGATCATTTTTCCCTTTGAAACAGTGTTGTAAATATTAGACAATGATCATTAGCTTCAAAGTCCACACAAGCCTATTTAATCCATTACATAACTGAAATATTAAATATTCAGTAGAATATATTAGCTAAGGGGAATCGTGGGGGTGCGGGTGGGAGGAGGGATGTTTACTAGGGATTCAATTTACTTCCCTTCATTGTTGTTCAATTGTATCTGACTCTTCACTATCCCACTTGGGGTTTTCTTGGCAAAGATACTGAAGAGGTTTGCCGTTTCTTTCTCCAACTCATTGTACAGATTTGGAAACTGAAGCACACAGGAGTAAGTGGCTTGTCTAGGGTCACACAGCTAGTAAGTGTCTGAGGCAGGATTTGGACTCAAAAAGATGAGTCTTCCTGACTCCAGGCCCAGCTCTCTATTGACTTCACCACCTAGCTTCAGATCACAGCTAATAAGAACCAAATCCTGCTATGGTTCAGATCAGACATAAGGATGGAAAAATTGCCTTCTGCCTTTCATATGGGTAAATTAATCCTACATTGTATTATGTTTATACATCTCTGACCGAGAAATCCTCAAATGGGGCAGTATGATGTGGAGGGGATAAAACGTTAACCTCTGTGATGTGCTTCCCAGATTCCCTCACTGCCTCTTTTGCACATCTCTCTAAGGACACAGGGCTAAACAGTCTTGTCCAAGCTGCCCCTCCAGCCACAATAACTGCCCAGAAAAATACTGGAAAGGTGAGAGAGCCTCGAACAGAATTCCAGAGTTGCAAGGAAACTCAGGGGAAAGGGACAGGATATTGCATTTGTTTAGTGCCTGCTACAGGCTAAGCACTTTACAAATAATATCTCATTTGATCTTCACACAACTACCCTGGGAGATAGGTGCTATCAGTATCCCCATTGAACAACTGAGGCAAATGGAAGTTAAGTGATTTGCCCAAGGTCACACAGCTACTAAGCAGCTCAGGCTGGATTTAAGTTCAGGTTTTCCTGACTTCAGGCCCAGGGTTCTATTTATACTGCAAAAAGATCTCCCACCCCCCCCCCCACCATTACATTACAATGGACAGGTATCACTCAGCCTTTTCTTGAAGGTTTCCAGTGAGGGGGAGAAGGAATAACCAAGGAATAACAACAACAACAGTAATAGCTAGGATTTATATTGGGCTTTAATGTTTGCACCGCACTGTCATTCCACTTAGAGAGAGCTCTAATTCTTAGGAAGTCTTTTCCTGGCATCAAGCCAGAATTTGTTTGCAACTTGCACCCACGGCCCTCGGCCAGTCCCCAGAGGCCAAACCGAGCAGACAGAATCCCTCTTCCACAGGCCAGCTTTTCGAGGGTTTGACCACAGTGGTGTCCTCTCCTCCTTCAGACTGATATCTCCTATACCTTCAATGGATCCTCCTCTGGCGCAGGCTCCAGGCCCTTCACCGTCCTGGTTTCTCGTTTCTGAACACTGCCCAGCTCATCAATGTCCTTCCTAAAACTGTGGCTCGCTGACCTGACCCTGATGCTGCGTATGGGACCTGGCCAAAGCCCAAGAGCACAGGCCCCTCTCCAAGCCATCCATTGTTGTCTCCACCATCCCATTGGCTTTGTCCACTGCCAGGTCATTCTGCTGATTCACCCTGGCCTTACAGTCCTCCACAACCCCAGGGTCTTTTCAGATAACATAGCGACCGGCACTTGGTAGATGCTGAATAAATGCTTGTTGACTGATTCTATATGAAAGGCTTTTGACATTTTTTAACATTAAATTTCATTATGATATAGCCAACTCAAGGCTGTGGCCTGTCTGGACTCTATTGGATGCACTCCCTGTCAATTCACGGTGCTGGCCCAGTCTCTCCGCTGTGAGTCACCTGCAACAGCGTTAAACATCGCACCCGTGCACTTGCAGAACAAGTAACCTAGGCAACAGAGGCAGAGCCAGTGGGGGCGGGGCATGTAACCGGTCAGGCTCCCAGCCTGGGGCATCGGCCTGCCTGTCATCTCTGGATTGGACAAAGACCAGGCTCAGAACAACTCGTCCCATCTCCATGGCGACCGTGACCGCCCCCTGCAGGACGGCGGCTGGCTAGGGTCAGCGCTGAGCAACCCAGAGAAAATTGATTACGGTGGCAGATTAGGACTGTCCCTTTAAGAGGTCACATGACACGCCCCTCCCGCTTCCACTGCAGTCTTTTTCTCCGCAGCCTCCACCCAGAGCCAGAGCAGTCGCCATCGCTGTTGGAGTCGGCCGCCGCCCCGGCAGCGCTCCGGCCGGAGCGCTGCCGGGGCGGCGGCCGGCCTTTCCGGGAGCCCGATGTCCATCCCTGCCCAGCTAGAGGTCCACGCCAGTGTCCAGCTGCTGCCCCTGACCAGACAGGACAAGACCGTGCTGCCGCGCCTGCTCCCGGGGCCGGAGGATTCCCGCGTCCGGGGTCCGGAGGGCGGCGGCCCCTCCTGCCCCTCTTCCCGCTCCTCCTCCACCATCCTGGGGCTGCTGCAGCCGGGGCCTGGGGCGCAGCTGTGCCCTTGACAGCTCCCGCCCTGCCCTCCGCCCCCGCCCCCGCGGCAGTGCCACCGGGTCCCTTAGCGGCGCCGGGCCTGGTGCTGAAGTTTGCTGGATGCAGAAGGAGCTCGCTGGGGCATCGTTTCAACGGCCGGTGGTCCGGGATGGGTGTGTAAGGCCCGGGGGTGCGGGAAGTCTGAGAGGGCGCTGCGGGGAAGCTGGGCCCCGCCCCTCATTGTCTTTGAGTGCGGCCGGCCCGAGCCCCCCCCTGCAGCGCTGCCTCCGCTGCACTCCTCCTCCTCTGTAACCCGCCCAGCTGCATCTCCCCTTCCTCTGTAAGCCCCGCTGCAGCGCGGCCCCAGCTGCAGCCCCTCCTCCTCTGCAGCGCCGCCCCAGCTGCAGCCCCCCTCTGTAACGCTGCCCCAGCTGCAGCACCCCCTCTCCTCTGCAGCGCCGCCCCAGCTGCAGCCCCCCCTCCTCTGCAGCGCCGCCCCAGCTGCAGCTCCCCCCTCTGCAGCGCCGCCCCAGCTGCAGCACCTCCTCTCCTTTGCAGCCCCACCCCAGCTGCAGCTTCCCCTCCTCTGCAGCGCCGCTCCGCTGCAGTAACCCTGGGGCCCCAAGTCCATCGCCGGGGCCCCTTGCTGGCCGCGCAGCAACCTCAGTCCGGTCAGTGGCTTGTGACCGTGGTCCGCCGAGGCGGGTCTGCCCTGGATGGGTCTGAAGATGTCACCTGCCTTCTCCAGCGCCTTGCCGGTGGCGTCTCCAGCCTCCGCTGCCGGTCTGGGAGCAGGGAGCCCACCCGGGGGCCTTCCGACGCCTCGCCCTGGCCCTGAACGCTCCAGGATTTCCAGACCCAGGCCGTCCACCTGCCTAGTGGAAGCTGCCCCTGTGCCGAGGCTGACGGACTGCACAGC